TCTCTTGTGGGGTGCTCAGTGGGTGCTTCAAGAAGCTGACAGTGGCCTGGTGATGTTCACTTACTTGGATGGCACAGAGGCCTGTCATGCATCCAGCATGTACTGGGCCTGGGGGTCTGCCTGGTGGTGCTTACTTTCCAGTGGGTACATAATAATCAGTGAGAGAAAGTAGTAGGGCTGTCAGTCAAACCCTGGACAGTTGACCACCAGGATGGGGCAGAAGTGGATCGAGGATGGAGATCAATAGAGGAGTTGAAATTGCCCATGAACCACCATAACTTAGCTGAGAATAACTTGAAAAGCCCGTGGTTGGGGGCGAGGGCTGCTGACAAATCCCTTTGGTGTAACATCAAATGCAGTGTGTAGGGTGTTTATGTGTCTTTGGCAAAATTCCTTATAAGCTGCAAGTACCACAAACTAATGACCTCATTTGATCTTACAGCAGCTCATTAACTTCATTTTATAACTGAGGCCTCTTGAGGCTTGGTGGGAGGAATGGACTTGCCCAGGGTCTTGCATTGAGTTAGTAATGAATTGACCCCCAAACTCAGTGCTCTTGGCCTGGGGCCAGGAATAGCCTGTCACGCCCACACCGTCTGGGAGGAGGTCAGAGCTGGGAGGAATGCTAGATTGTGGGGAGGGTTGTGGGCTCCTCCAGAGCTGAGGACTGAGGTCTCTGTCCCCTCCTTGTGGCTGGCAGGTGCTATGACAAGCGTCTGTGGCCTAGAATGGACCTGAGCAGGCGGAAGTCACTGACCCCGCCTATGCTCAGCGGTGTGGTTCGTCGCCAACCTCGGGCCCTAGACCTCAGCTGGACAGGTGTCTCCAAGAAGCAGCTCATGTGGCTTCTGAACAGACTGCAAGGTAGGGAGGGGTGAGGAGGCGAGGACAGGGTGAAGAGGGGGACAAACTTGGCACAGCATCCTCCTAGCTCCGCCTTCTGACCCATCCCCCACCGCAGGCCTGCAGGAGCTGGTGCTCTCCGGCTGCTCCTGGCTCTCTGTCTCTGCCCTGGGCTCAGCCCCACTGCCAGCTCTGCGGCTCCTGGACCTCCGCTGGATCGAGGATGTTAAAGACTCCCAGCTCCGTGAGCTGCTGCTGCCTCCGCCAGACACCAAACCAGGTGTGGCCTCTTCTGGCTCATTTGCCAAATGGGTTGGGCAAGGTGGGGGCGTGAGGCTTCCAGAGACTCCTCTGACTCATGTTGAGTGTTAAAGGATTTGAAGAGAGGACAGAACACATGAGTTTGAATAGGAAAGCCCTGCTTGGCCGTTGTTCATTGACTCACTTACCTGCTGTGCACTGGGCCCTGTGATCAGAAATGAGGGCACAGGCATGAATAGGTTATAGACCCTGCCATCCAGGGGAGAGATACTTTATGTGATGAAACACGACCTAGGACAGGAGGATGGTAGGAATTCTGGGAGAAGCCAAGCTATGAGAGAAGTCATGGGGTGGTGGCATGATGGGAGCACCTCCTCTGAAGGGAGCAGCAGTGATGGCCGTGAACTGTGCAGGCCCACTGTGGCCACTTAAACTAGCCCTCTTGGGGCTGTGGAAGCGTCTCTAGTTCGAGAGCTACTGACCTAGAGACAGACAGTGAGAGTTCAGTTAATGACTTGGTGCACCATAGCACTTAGTAAGAGGGAAAACCACACGTGGGATTGTGACAGATGCAAATAAAAATATATACTGTGAATATGTAGATGGAGGGCATGAGCTCGTCTACCATGGAGGTAAGGGGAGAGGGAGCCTCTGAAGTCAGACCCAAAGTCAAGACCAGGCAGAAAATTAAGCATAGGTGACACTTCTGGCAGCGCCACTCAGGGCCAGCACTCACTTGTTCCGTGGGTGTTTACAGAGAAGGGAGAAGAGTTGGAAGCGGAAATAGGGATGAGACCTTACACAAACCAGAAGTGTTCAGTCAGGATTTGACTTCTTTGAGGTACAGTTGGAGGGTTTTTAGTAGTGAAGGGATGTTGTCCCATTTGAAAACAGCTCTTGTTGGACACCAGAAAGAAGAGGTAAGATGGGAGTGAGTGACGATGTGAGGGTAGGTTCAGGCAGGAATGGGAAAAGGGTCCAGATGGTGACTGCTGATCAGCCACGGAGAGGGGTGCGGGGAGCCGGAGCAGCAGTGCGGTAGGGATGTCGAGTGACTGTTACTCCTGTGTCCCAGTTGCTGGGGAGAGAGCAAGAACACTCACATTCTCGTAGAAGAGAAGAATGAGTGTGTTAAATGGTAAGAAAAGGGGAGAAAAGTAATGTGAAAGGGGTCGAAGTATGTGGATTGTTAGCCTCCAGTGAGGTAATCAGGGAAGGTCTCACTGAGAAGGCGGCATGAGTAGTGGACGTAGGTGGTGGGGTTCGGTTGTGTGGGTATGTTGGAAAACAAGGCCCACGGAAGGGGCAAGTTGAGGTCTCCCTTGTCGTGAGAGCAAGTTTAGGGAGGCGGTGAGGAATGAGTGTGGGGACAGGGGTAATCTAGACAGGAGTAGCTGGGAGCACTAACCTCATACCTGCCTGCCCAGGGCAAACGGAGAGCCGCGGGCGGCTGCAGGGGGTAGCAGAGCTGCGCCTGGCAGGCCTGGAGCTGACAGATGCCTCCCTGCGGCTCCTGCTGCGCCACGCACCTCAGCTGAGTGCTCTGGACCTGAGCCACTGCGCCCATGTCGGGGACCCCAGTGTCCACCTCCTCACAGCCCCCACCTCTCCACTCCGTGAGACCCTGGTACACCTCAATCTCGCTGGTAAGCGTGGTCCCCGTCCAGCCTGCTAGCCTGCACCTTCCCCTGGTCAGGCCTACCCTCTACTCGACCTTCCTGGTCTCAGCCACCACTGCTGCATCCCCAGGTTGCCACCGCCTCACGGACCACTGCCTCCCGCTGTTCCGCCGCTGCCCACGCCTACGCCGCCTGGACCTGCGCTCCTGCCGTCAGCTCTCACCTGAAGCTTGTGCCCGACTGGCAGCTGCCGGGCCGCCTGGTCCCTTCCGCTGCCCAGAGGAGAAGCTACTTCTCAAGGACAGCTAGTTGGGTGCCCCCACCCTTCCCCAGGACTCATCAGGAGCCTGGACCTCGGGTCTTCATTTCACCCCTGCCAGGAGGCCAGGTTACCCACCTCATGACTTGGGATTTCTGAGTTTTATGACTTGGGATTCCCACCCAGGGACTCGAGCCAGCCTCCCCCCACTCTACCCCCTGCACTGATATCTCTGGGGGTGTCTCCTTCCCATTTCCTCCCCCTTCTACCTGCTTCATTGTCCATCCCCTGGGGGGAATGGGTCAGAGGTACTGGGGGGTGCTGAGCCAAAGGGATGGTGGGAGGGGGGTAAGGTGCAAGTTTGAGGGAGGGAAATGGGGAAAGGGTATCTGCACACAGGATACTGGGAGCCAGGGGATTGGGGGAGGTAAAGGATGGGCTGGGGGAGGGAGCAGAGAGCAGAACACCAAGGGTTCAGGGAACAAAGACCAGATTCTTGGAGTTGGGGGTGGGTGGGTTGGGGGGCCAAAAGGGAAAACAGAGGAGCAATTTGGGGATCCAGGTGTCAGAGGTGGGGGACTTGGGGAACCAGGGGAAAGCCAGGGCTGAGTGAAGGTGGGGGGGAAAGAGCAGGTGTGGGGGAGTAGTACCCCTCAGGGGGTCACCCCTTCTCCTTACTCCCTCCCCAGATTTCAGTTCCTCCCCCCCAACCCTGACTCCTTGAAAGTCACTGACAATGGCAGCTATTGCTAGGAGTGGGGGCCGTGGGCCTACCCGCTGTTCAGAGCGGCCCAGGGGAGTGGTGAGGGGTACCCCAGCCCCTACCTGCCTCCCTGCACAATACTTGAACATTCATCTGTACTGAAGTGTTACTTGAACCGGGGGAACCTCGGACCTGGGGGAGCTGGAGTGTGAGGGGTCGGGACCAGCTTGAACTGAGACTGGACCAGTGGACACCCAGTTTGGACTGTGCCACCCAGGCTCTGTGTTGCTTTACTGTATTGAACAGCTGCACCCCTCCTGACTTGGGGGTGTGGGGTGCCAGCCCAATGATGGGGAAGAGGGTACTCCTCCAGTTTGGCTCTTCCTACTCTTTCATCGTCATGGAAACTTGTATCCCATTTGCCCAGGGAACTGCCACTCCTGGTTGCCATGGAAATAGCAGCCAATGGACACCTCCCAAAGCCAGTGCTAAGGCTGGAGAAGGCCCCTCTTAGTTACCATGGGAACTTAGTAACAGACTCTTGGTCCTTCCCTGCCCTTCCTCCAGGGCAGAGGCGGGGTTTTGGGAGCCACAGGGAGGGGTCCGGGCCAGGCCCCACCCCTCAGCCCAGGGCTCCCAGGGGAGTCGGGTTGTACCATGTAGGGGAGGGGGGGATCTATCCACATACCTCAGGTAACAGGGAGGTGCGCGGGTGGGGGGAGGGACTGGGCGGACCAAAGGCCAGAGGGGAGGGGGTCTTGGGGGATCGCGAGAGGGTTGAGGATGGGACCGCTTCGGGGAGGGGGAAGAGGCAGCCCGGCGGGGGACTAGTGGGGAACCCAGCCGGGCTGGGCCCCTGGGCCCCGGGTCTGTACAATACGGTTTGCTATAAAAGTCAAAATCTTCCAGCCGGGGCCACTGAGTTCGTGTGTGTGTGTGTCTTCGGCGTGCGGGGCTTGGGGGTAGGGCGGGGATGATCGGAGCCTCATCCCGTGTCGGGAAGGGGTGGGAGGCGCGGACCTCGTAGGCTTCCCAGGACCAAGGATGTCGGACGTCCTGCTCAGCTTCCTCGAGTTAGCTATGAGCAGTGATTTGGGAGCCTGGACTGGGGATGTCCAGCTGTATTGGACTGGCCTTCGGTCCAGCAAGCCCCGCCAAGGCTGGGCTGGGAAACTGCATGAAGTTCTAGAGGGCCTGGGGTCGCGGGGTGTCCCTCGGGATTTCTGCCCACGGTCCCCCGGCTCCACCCCATCATGTGGCCGCCCGGGCCCCGCCTCCGCCCCAGTTCCTGTTTCGGCCTCTGCCGTCCCGCTTCTGCCCCTAGGGCTCCCCGCAGACGCCTGCTCTTCTGCTCGGCCCGGGCCGCCTCTTCCTGGGCGCCCGCCACCCGCATCCCCGCTCGCCCCGCGGGGAATGGGGCCTTTCCCCTGCCTGAGCCGGCCCTCCTGGGGCCCTCGAGGCCACCCAGCCCCGCCGTGACTGCCCAGCCCGCCGGGTGGACCACAGGATGAAGGGCGGCGAGGGGGACGCGGGCGAACAGGCCCCGCTAAACCCAGAGGCTGAGAGCCCCGCCGGCTCGGCCACATACCGAGAGTTCGTGCACCGCGGCTACCTGGACCTCATGGGGGCCAGTCAGCACTCGTTGCGAGCTCTCAGCTGGCGCCGCCTCTACCTCAGCCGGGCCAAGCTCAAAGCCTCCAGCCGCACGTCTGCCCTGCTGTCGGGCTTCGCCATGGTGAGGGGAAGGGAGGGGCACGTGCGGGGTGGTGGGGTGGTGGGGAGAAAGGGTCGTGGGTGAAGTTAATGGGTACCCGGGGCGGGTGGAGCGGCGGGTGGAGCGGGGGAAGGGCAACAACAAGGTCCCAAGGGACTACCGGAGTCGGTGGTGTGTGTACATGGACACCCAGCATAAACTGGGTCTTAGGATAACCACAGCCCACAGGTGGCATGGGGTACAAATCAAGGGAGATAACGTTTCCAAAGTCCAAGAGTGTAGTTCAACATGAGTGAACCCAGGAGAGAGTGAAGCACAAATTCCTGTTTGGTGGCGGCTGTATGGAAAGAGCTAAGGAGGAGCGGTTCAGGGAGGATCGACTGCGGGATCTCTGCTGAAGATGGGCTCATAGCAGGGAGGTTGGCTAGTTCCCAGCAGGCACAGGGGTGCTTCATTGAGAAAAAAAGGATGCCTAGGAGGAAGCCGTGGGAAAGGAAGATGATTAGGAAGTTGATTCGTGATTCCTGCGCTGATAAAGCTGTAGGTGTGGGAGGATGCTGCCAGCCAGCGTCCCCACAGAGGCTTCACAGGAAGTGGGGCTGAGGGAGGTTCCAAGTTGAAGAGTCAGTGGACACAGTCCTAGCTCCTCCCTGGTTATGGCCAACTGTGTGACCCTGAACAGACCTCTGCCCCTCGCAGGACAGTAGGAAATTATCATGCAGGTGTGCCCTCTACCCTGCCAAGTACCCGCCTCAGGAGGAGCTGTGATTTTTGTTATCAAACCCTAGATGGAAGCATGTCAAAGTGAAACATCAGCGATGGATCAGACTGCCTGTTAGTTGCACAGGTGTGGAGACTGAGACCCAGCATGGGGCAATGGTTCTGCCAAGAGCATTCAGCAGATGAAGGATATAGAGTGAACTAGGACCCGGCCTGTGTCCTAGCTCATGGGGGTAGAGAAATGAAAGATAGTTTTGCAAGTTCCAAAAGCAGTGTAATTCAACAGAAGGAACCCACGAGAGGGCCAAACACAAGTCAGTGTTTGGTGGAGACTGGATCATTAGCACAGGAAGGAAAAAGCCGGTTGGAGGGGTCCTCATAGGAACATCTATCTATGTGTGTGGGGGGAGAAGGGGATCAAGATGGAGATAGAAGGAGTATAATATCAGGCCATCTGGTTAGTCCTACCCTTCTAATGACCTCTGTATTAGAATGGTGAAAGGGGAAGTCTTATCACTAAGGGTCATGCTAGGCTTGTGGTTTTACACATGGGGGCCTAGGATCCTCAGGCTGCCCATCCTTTCTGACATGGGCTTGTCTAGAAAAGGAGGTTGGCTTTCTCTCAACTGTGCAGTCTGCAGAGGAAAAGAAGTAACCCCATGCATCTTTCTGAGGGAGGTTCCCCCCACCCATCCTGACTCATGGTCCAGCCTGTTCCCAAGGGGACAATCCGACCTGCAAGTTGGACTTGCAGGTTGCTGGGGTGACAGCTTAAGGGCCAGGACCTTCTCTGCAGGATCAAGAGGCCAGATGAGTAGCTTGTGGGGGTATAACTGGCTTCAGTCCTGCCAGGGGAGTACAGGCTGGATCAGGCTCTGTGAGAAACCAGGACTAGGCCTGGCCTAGATCCCTGTCTGTGGAAAAAGCACCTGCTAACACACCACTATGGCCCAATTTCCTAAAATACACAGCCTTGGCTTCCTACCACTACCCCCCAGGCTCTACACTTTCCTCCTTTCTCTAGCCCCAGAGCAATCTAATGGAGCCTGCAAGAATCAGGTACAGGGAAAGATCCAGATTCTGGAATCGAGGTGGCCTGGGTTACAATAATGTCATACAAATCATACTGTATTGTCACCTAAGTACAAGGCACTGTACTAAGGGCTTTTCTGTGCATCATCTTGCTGTTACCCTATGAAGTAGGTACCACTACTGTGATCATTTTATAGATGAGGAAACTAAGGATCAGAGATGTTAAGACATTTGCCTGTGTCTCACAGCAAGTAAATGGCAGGATTTGAACTTAGGCATTCTGGCTCTAAGTCCAAATTTATACAAGCCTAGGACAGGATCATCAACTCAAATGTTTAATGTTTATAAAGGTCAGGCAGGTAATATAGAAGCCAAGGTCACTAGGTGGGGACTGTGGCTATCAGATCCTGAGACCACTCAAAAGGAAGCAGCCATAAACTAAACTCTAGCTGATAGTTGCTTGAGGTCCAAGAATATGGGCCTGGTATAACCAGATAGTCCACGTTTTTAAGAGGATCTGGAAATAGGGATTTTTAAAAAAGATTTATTTATATATACAAGAATTGGAGTATAGGCCAAATGTGTGTGTGGGGGGGGAAGAGAATTCACCAGAGACAGTGGGGAGCAGAACAGGTGGATAGACTGAAATACACTGCTGAGGGGAGCAGCAGGTGAGACAGGAGAGGTCTGCTGCGCCATGTGTGTCAGCTCCCTGGCTGTGAGTCCGATTCATGTTGCAGTAGCTGCTGATAGCTTCATAGTACTGAGCCTTAACCCTTTGTGCCACCAGGGAGGCCCAGAAATGGGGATATTTACATGAAACTTAAATTTAAAAAATTGGCAGCTTGCCCTGTATGAACCTAGCAAAACATGCCTGCAAGGTGATTTAGGCTCATGAGATGCCAATCTGCAAACTCTAACCTTAAACTTCAGTGTTAACTCTAATCACATAAATACACACACATATGTATTCTTACACACACACACATATATATATCTTGTTTACTTTTCACAACAACTCAACAAGGCGGGTAGATGCTGTTATCAGTCCCATTGTTCAGGTGAGGAAAGGAGGCATTGAAAAAGCTACATCACTTGCTCAAGATTATACAACTTGTACACTTGAGAATGAACCCAGCAGTCCTGTTCCAGATTATGTGCTCTTTAACTCCTATGTTATAGCAGGGTAAGCTTGTCAGAAATATGCCATCCAGCCTTTCAAGAGCTAGGCAGGGAAACCAGGCCCAGAACAGGACAGATCCTCACCAAGCTACCCTTTCACTCAACAGACTGGGTACCTTCTTTCTGCCAGATAGTTTCACATTGGGGATGTATGTCAACAAGCAAAAACCACCTTTATTGTTGAAGAGTTTGTGGGTATTTAATCTGTCCTTTTTTATCCCCACAGGTGGCCATGGTGGAGGTACAGCTGGAGAGCAACCATGAATACCCACCAGGCCTGCTGGTGGCCTTCAGTGCCTGCACCACGGTGCTAGTGGCTGTGCATCTCTTTGCTCTCATGGTCTCCACGTGTCTGCTGCCCCACATTGAAGCTGTTAGCAATATCCACAACCTCAACTCTGTCCACCAGTCTCCACACCAGCGACTCCACCGCTACGTGGAGCTGGCCTGGGGCTTCTCCACTGCTTTGGGCACCTTCCTCTTCCTTGCTGAAGTTGTCCTGGTTGGCTGGGTCAAGTTCGTACCTATTGGGGCCCCCTTGGGCACACCAGCCCCTGTGGGACCTGCCTCCCAGGTATCTGGGACTCTGCCACCAGTTATTGCCTCTCTTAGTCCAGCTTCCAAGCCATCCTCTGTTTCTGTAGCCCCATCACAGGTGGAGTCACCTGAGCCCTGCCCACCCCAGCAAGTGTGTGGGGGTGGTGGGGCCCATGGACCGGGCTGGCAAGCAGCAATGGCCTCCACAGCTATCATGGTACCTGTGGGGCTAGTGTTTGTAGCCTTTGCCCTGCATTTCTACCGCTCTTTGGTAGCACACAAGACCGATCGCCACAAACAGGAACTGGAGGAGCTGAGTCGCCTGCAGGGGGAGCTGCAGGCTGTGTGAAGCTGGTGTTAGCGGAAGCTGCAAATACTGCCTCCCTGAGGGGTCTGGGAGAAGCTCCAGGTTTTATGGACCCCTTTCCCTGCCCCTGCCTGGAGCCACTTCCTGTGGCTACTCTCAGGTAGAAACTGACCAGGTAGAGACTGATTCCTGTCCCAGGGTCTTTTGGGCTGGTCCTTGAGTCAGCTCCCACATTCCCATGGATTTGTCATTCCATCCCATGGGTCTTATAAGTTCTATTTTATACCTGGCTTGGGAAGATCAAGGGAGAAAGTGGAAGGTTCTCAGTTCAAGGTTCATGCGGTAGGTAGAGAGGAAGCAGGGAGACCCTGGCCAGACCTTTGGTGCTGACCCTTAGACTTTGTCCAATACGGAATGTGGAGGTCAGGTTCCATGCCCACCCAGCTGTCACAGAAGGCAGTCAACTTTTGCTTTACTTTTTGCAGAATCTATTTGTGGTTGGCATTTTTCAGGAAACTTTTCCCCATCCCCAAATTTTGATGGGTTTCACATTCTTGCTTAAGTTACTGTAGAGAGAGATCTGGACATTTCTTCCCCAGGCTTAGGTGCACCTTTTCCTAGGAGTAACCTAATTGAGGTGGTTCAAGTGCCTGCCCCTCTGCCCTAGGCCCACACTTATGCATCTTTATCTGGTTCTACCTTCCTGGGTTCAGCAAAGGGTTCATTTATTGAGGGCCTTATGTGCCCAGCCTGACTCCTTTACAAGGCTTGGGGTGAGGTTTTAAGGGAGGTCTGGACTATAGAGCTATTCTGACACTGAATTTTTGATGCACCTTGTTTTATATAATAAAATGCATTTCACAGATATCCCTGTGGCTGTGAATGGGGTGAAGGGGATCAGGTGACATGTTCCTAAGAGTCATGTGGAAGCATGTGTACCTGGGGTGGGGGGAGTGGCTTCCAGCTTTGATCCTCTTCCCATTTGGACAGGGCTGGTAGCTTCTGAATGTGGAGCCTCTTATTTCAAGGCTAAAGGCTTTTACACTGTTGTCCCTGTGCCTACGATTCTATCATTGAGGATTTAGTGTAAGTCATTTCAAGGCTAAAGTTTCTTGAGTGGCTACTACATACTAGTATATGTTATTTAACCCTCATAACTACCACTAGGCAAGTCTATCTTTCCACACCTCCAGGGCTTTTCTGCACTGTTCTGTTGTTGCCAACAGTCCTGTGTGACAGAAATATACAGCCGTTTTCTGATGAAGTTTGAAGCTCTGAGGTGAATGACTCGCCCAAGGTCGTAGAGCAAGGGACTGACGTAGTCTGGAACCCAGACATCCTCAGCTCAGCTTCAGGGCCTCCTGGCCGACCAGGATGTTTGAGTCCCAGACTGAGACCTGATGCCTGAGTCCCAAGTGTCTGTCCGTCTCTGCTGCTGCTGCCCTCCAGCGGTGGACCCGCGGAAGCACAGGGTGGGGGGCGCCCAGCTGAGAAGGGCAGGCAACGGGGCCCTGATGCCAGGAGGCTCGAGCAGCCCACCTTACTAGGCCCTAGCTTTTTTTCTTTTCTTTTCTTTTTTTTTAACACGATCCGTTCAAGGGCCTTTAGGTCCCACCAGGCTGATCAGAGAAACAGTCTCGGATTTAATCATCAATGGTGGGGCGAGTACGGACGGGCAATAAGGTGCATCCGCGGCAGGCCTCAGTCTCTTCATCTGCCAAATGGGCGCCTCACGCAGCTAGAGGCCCGGGGCGATAACGGGAGGTACACGCACCCTGCGTTACGTGAGGCGCCAAACAGACTGAGTCACCGCTCTTAGTAGTATTTTTCCACCTCACGGTCGCCCCTCCCAGCCAGCCCGGGTTTCGGTGGGTCCTCCAGGAAGCGCCCCCGCGAAGCCCGGCTCCGCACGCGCTGACGACGTCCTGGCCCCGCCCACAGCACTCGCAGATTCGCTAGGCCAGCTCCTCAGGATTACTCGCGCCCCGCCACACTCGGCCGAAAATTCTCTTCTGACTGCGAGAGGAGCTTTGAGCCGGAGCCACTTCCCGTGGGTCGGAATGGGGCAGTCCCCTCAGTTGCGCTAGTAAGAAAGATCCAGAGAAAGTGGCTGACTTTGCCAACAGGGCTTGGCCAGCTTGACATTATTTTCTCGACTCCACCGAGACGGGTGAAGAAAAGCGACAGCTGAGGCTAGGACTTGTGGCGAATCTGCAGCTTCTTATACCTCCGCCGTGCGAGGAAGGGGTAGGGAAGAGGAGCCAAGAAGCGCGCATCCAGTCTACAAATTCGCCCCGCCCGCCTGACGAATCTGCGCCTGTTCAACGCGCCACTCAAATCTCTCAAGCTCTGGCTGGCCTCCTCCCCTCCGCCCCGCCCCCTTTTCCTCAGGGACTAGTCGCTGCTTTCGTCGCAGCCGATTCGTCAAGGACCCTAAGCCAGAGCAGCTGGATAGTCGTGAAGTCCACTCTCCGGGGGATGCGGCCAATACCCAGGCTCCCTGGGCCGCGACTCCTGAGCCTAATAGGGCGCCAGCCGAGGCGAAGCTGCTGTCCTTGGCCCCGTGGGTCTCTCGGCTGCGTCCGTGGCGAAAGTGCGAATATAGACGCTGTGCCCGCTGGGCCTCACGCAGGTGGCGGTGGTGTTTGGTGCGCG